CCTACCACGAGATATGAGAAATGGGATCGGGTTGCACGCCTGCAACAAGAGGAAACTGAAAGTGAAAGCTGCCTTTATTTTCTTCATTTGTGATAGAAGTTATAGTGCTAGCTTCCTTATTATTCCCTATTATTCTCTTTTAACTGCTATCCCCGAAGCATGTTTCCCCTTCCCCAGCTTTAACTGCTTATTAATTGTTTATTTTTCCGCCATATATTATATAACTGTATAGGTTTATCTGGAGTCTGGTGCTAGCCTCGTCACTACCTCGCCGGGGTTATGGCAGACACTTACCAGCACATGGGGCCGGTTATGCTGATACTACGCTCTGTGTTCTTTTGCACAGATCCAAGTTTTGGACAGCAGCAGTAGCGCGGGAGCTAGCCTTTAGTCCAGTGAGACACTGAGGTAGCCTTGCAGGCGTTTGCAGGCCCGATGTCTCCTCTATCTTTTATTTCCGTCTGTTATCTCATATATTCGAGACAAACAATTTATAATTTCTTTCAAACGGTTGTATTTAGCACTCTTAAAAGTTCGTGAGTAATGTGACACCAGTTCTTGGGTAGAGGCATATGTTGATTCTTGCATTATTGTTCAGTTTCTTTAAACTTAAGTCTTCCGTTTATTTATTTAATTCTGTTGCTTTCATGCTATTACTGATAATTGTTAAAAGAAGTAATTGTTAATTAAGTAAGCAGTTAAGGATTGGCTTGCCTAGCTCTCATTAGTAGGTGCCATCACGACTCCCGACGGTGGAAAATCCGGGTTGTGACAGTTATATAGGAATTTGTAAAGATGGGCAAGTATAGCGTCGTTTATTAAGGCGCTATACATATAGCACCTTAATAAACGGCGCTATACTTGCATAAAAAACGGTCCCCTTCTTCACCACCAAACCAGTCGACAGAAACCTCCCCCTTTAAAATAAAAAAAACAAAAAAAAAAAAACAGCGCGGTCCCCCCCCAATTTTAAACAAAAAAATCTCGAGTGGAGCCCACCGGTCCCATAAAAGTGTAGATTCTCGGTCCCACGTCCTAGCTAAGGCATTTTCTCGGAGTGGGTTGCTTGTTTCGACTCCAAATCACCAAATCTTCGATGTACCAAAAACTTAAAATCGAGGTATTCCGATTTAGTTTTTGTTAAAACTCGTATAAAAAATACATATTAGTTATTTTTAATGTGTTCTATGTTGTTTTGTGATCGCTTTGCGATTTAACTAATTTGTTATTTTTAATCGGACTATGATTTTAGTGTGCTAAAAAATTAGTAAAAATAGAGAAATTATTATTAGTTGTTAAAAAAATGTTAATTAGTTACTTTTTACTGTGGTATATGTATTTTCGTGAATGTTTTATGATTATTTATTTGTTATTTTTATCTGATTTAGATTATTTATTTGCTTAAATACTAGTAGAATAGATAAATTGTTACTTTAGTTCCCTCCAATGGTATCTTGTGGCCTAATGTAGTGCTTGTATTTGTAATGTAGTGACCTTTTAGCATAGTGAAATGTATCTCCCTTTAGCGTAGTATCCTTATAGTTATTGAAATTAATTATTTAAGCATCTTTTTTACCCAAAAATACGTCAAAAAGCTGATAGTTCAAACACAAACTCTAGTCAATGACCGTAAGAAAATAACACGAGAAAACAACAATTATTTCCCAAACTAAAACAACAATATTTCTAGGATACTTGATGCTACTGGGCCTCAAATATAGAGCCCGGAACCCATATATAAATATTTAATAATTAAATCTTGTATAATTATAAAAATTAATTATTTAATTCTATTATAGTAAAAAATAAGCGAGTAATAAACAAAAATATATAATAATAAAATTAACATATAAAATAATAAAATTAACATGTAAAATAATAAAACTAACATATTAATTAATAAAACTACATTTAAAATAACAGACATGTTGCGTGATAAATCGGGAAAATTTTCTTATCATGAATACAAGAATTCAGGATACCTTGGTGCTACTGGGCCTCAAATATCGAGCCCGGAACCCATATGTGAATGTTTCATAATTGAATCTTGTATAATTATATAAAATTATAAAACTAATATATTAAAGAAAAATAATGTAATTAATATTGTTTAATTTACAGTAGACGACATGGAGGTTCCGCCTTTGCATCCCGGACCTGCCAGCCTGGAGCTACTGTCGTTACAGGGCGATCATAGGTCGTCCTACATATGGGAGGAACAATTACTTGCCTAGATGTTCCGTGCTAGGAGAGTAAATGATATGTGGGGCTTTCTCAGGGACCACCCTCTCCATCCCTGTATAGTCAGATGCCTCCAGGATACAGGCTTTTATAGGATTGTGGAGATCGACCGACTGCAGTTGGATTAGTTGGTGATCACGACCCTGATAGAGCAATGGCGACCGGAGATGCACACATTCCATTTGCCCATTGGCGAGACCACTATCACGCTTTAGGATGTGGAGGTCATGTATGGGGTGCCCCTTGATGGACACCCTGTTGCTTTGCTGCCTAACATGAGAGAGTATACGGGATATCAGTACATGGAAATGTTGCAGTGGCTCACCGGTTTTCGGCCAGCGGATGAGGGTGCATTGAGTGAGGCTAGTCGTTTGCAGTTGACGTCCATCCGGCAGCATATGGAGGCGATGCATGATGACATTACGGATGATCCACCGGATCTGCATATTCACCGGTACACGAGGTTGCTGATGCTGCTTATGTTTGGAGGGGTTTTGTTCCCGAACACTTCGGGGAATTTTGTTAGCTTAAGATTTATTCATCATCTTGATCGGCTAGATGATTTACATCAGTACAGCTGGGGTGCTACCATTCTCGGTTACTTGTACATGCAGATGTGCCGGGTGAGCATGAGCACCCAGTACGACATTGCTGGATTTTTGCCGCTGCTACAGGTAAAAACACAGTCGATACCCTATTCATTATAACATACGCAATAAATATATACCTTGAATTTTACGTCTACTTTGTATATTAGGTTTAGGCCTGGGAGCGCTTCCTGCAGTTGCAGCCACCTCTACCACCCTTAGCTCTAGGTGCACCACCTCCGTTTCTCCCTCTAGCTAGGAGGTGGGTTGATAGGCGAGGATATGGAGGAGAGTACGAGGCTCGACATAATCTCCCCTTGTGCAGGGATTTGTTAGATTTGCTGGAGGGCGCACAGGTAAATATATACCTAAGTTTTCTTGGCCTGGATTCATATATGTTGCATATACTCACGTTTTTTGTTGTTACTTAATAGTTCATTTGGAGGCCACACATCGATAAGCTAATAGTTAGTTTGCCCGATTATTGCTCGGCCGACTGAATTATGTGGAGCTCTTCCGTCCCGTTGATGTACCTTAATATTGTGGAGCATCATTGTAGACATGTGATTTTTGACCCTCCCCAAGATTTTTTATATTTTAGCATGTAAATATTTAATTTAGGCCTAATATAACTATTTCAACTATTTTTAACTTCTTTACTTTATTTTCGTCATAAAAATGGAAAATTATGAAAAAATATATTTTTAGCTTATGTATCTTTCATAAATTCAAATAGAAATATACAAAAATAGTACTTATTTTTATCTTTATATAATTTTGAAAATAAAATATATATATATATATAATAGTTTATGTTAGCCTTTGGCATGGGGTAGTATTTTTATCTTACTTTAAAATGAGTCAATTAAGGTGTTGGATCATAATTTTAAGAGTTTTAGAACCTAATTCTTGGCCCAATTCGGATTAGTCCATTGAGCCTAGGGACCCTTCTAGACTCTTCTTTGGAATAAAAAATAAATAAAGAAGACCCTAAAGACTTAACACAAAAGACCTAGGGACTAATGGACAAAATACACAAAGATACACCTAAACCTAGACTCTACCTATAAATTAGTGCTTAAAAAAAGAAAAAAAAAGAAAAGAAAAAAAACAAGAAAAAGCTGAAAAGCTGCGCAAGGAACGACCCCCCCGGATCGTCTTCTCCAAACGACCCCTCCCTCATGAGATTTCATCACCTTCAAAACCAAAAAACCTAAACTCCATCTCAACGTCAGCCGCCGTTCATGCCACCAGACGACCACCCTGTAGCCTAGCGCCTTGCTCGCCTCCAAAACGACCTCATCTCCGCTAGCTACTCAACCAAAAATCGTCGGAACACCAACCAAATAGACCCGTCTCCATCCACCTTCACCAAGGCTCGCCGAAAACTGGCGACGGAAGTTTGTTTCGTCAATGGAGTTAGTTTTAAGCTCGCGGAGAGTTAGTTTGAGTTTGTCGACTGAATTTCAAGTTTGTCGTTCCATTTGGTGTGATGTTCCTGTTGAGATCGAGTCCCGTTACAGCACATTCGTAGGTCGCCGGATCTATTCGTTAGGTCCTTTCAGTTTCATTCGAGATTCCGGCATTGCAATGTTTTCTGTTTGAGTTCGTGTCTGATTGTCCGAGCTTCGAAACAGTATTGTAAAGATGAGTTTCCAACGTTACGTTCGCTTTTCAGCCTCTGTTTTGGCGTTCAAGCTTCTTTGCATTCCAGATTTTCATTTGAAGTTCGAGTCTGCCGACGAGAACGTTTCCGTTCTTCATTTGGTTTTGATTTTTTCTTTCGTGTGTGGGAGTGGGGTTAAGTCGAGGTTGATTCCGGTTCAAGTTTCCGGCGAGGTTCGATTTGAGACCGTTGTTTTTCGTTTCCGGTTTGAGGTTCGAGTTTCAATTTTTTCATATACATGTTTTTGAGTCAATTCAGTGTTTGATTGCATTTGGATGTTAGATGTTGTTGTTGTTCATGTCATAGTAGAATGTTTGAAATATTTGCTTCCATTTGTTCATATCATTTGTTAAGTGTTTGACATATTCTTCTCTATTTTGGCGTGTATGGTACTTAACTGTTTGTATGTGATTTGCAACGAAATTTCCTAGTGTGATTAGAAACCAATCCGATAGTAAACTAATTAAGAAGAAATAACAGAATTAGGGTTGTTGATACAGTAGTAGGTATAGGGTAATCTTGTGGATGATTTGTTGAGATGATGTTACACCCCATATTTTCGTACATGAAAATACGCCATAAATAAATTAATGAGAGCCGAAAGTGAGAATTCACGTCCCGCAGTATTACATTATGGTGATGTCATGTTTCGCAGTATTAAGTTACAACGATATTGCACCCTGAAGTATCATACGTTAAAATTTCATTTTCAGTTAACCGATGAAAGACTCAGGGATGAGATCATCTTGAAGTTAACGTACTTACGCTATTTATAGCAAGCAATAAATAAGTGTTATGAAGAATAAGAGGGTACACAGATTAAAGAAAACGAGTTTCGTTGAAAGTAGTCAATTTGGAATAAAATACGGGTCGAACGAGAATACCCAATAATGATGAACTAGTACCATGCAAGGTACCATATGACCACGGTAGTGTAATATATAATGTATATATGAAGTATTTTGAAAATATATAGAATTTTAAGTAATTTATGGTAATTTTTAAATTATGCGGGTAATTGGTTAATTACCGGTTAATGGGATATTACCCGATTAACTAATAAGTGGATAAAAAATATAATAAATTATACCACTCCCACGTGGCATCCAACCACTTCCAAACAATGACTCATGGTCATGTTGGAGTAGGTGGCTAGCTACCTAAGCTTTAAAATGAAATGTTTCAGCATTTCATTAAAACTACTCTAGAGATCAAAGTTAAGTTCATCTTTGGACAAGGAAACAAAACCAAAGGAAATGATCAACAAATCCTAAAGCAAGAGAATTTTCATTCTTGGTTCAAATAATGTAACGCCAAAAAGAGTTGCTCACGTGTTCAAATTCATCAACGAGCAGAAGCGTAATTCCGTCCAAGTTTTATGGTTTTAAAAGAATACGGTATAATCTTTGCCAAGAATATTATACAGAGTTTTTCCTACTCCAGGTATGTTAAGGCTATCCCTTCTTTCTTTTGGCACGATCCATACGATATGAACGAAACGTGTAAATGCACAAATTCCATAAGTGACTCTACTCATAGAAGTAATAAAAATATCTATGTTCTTTAATTCCCATGTGTCATAATATTTTATCATTTGTTCATGGGTCTTAGAAAAATATGAAAGTTGAAAAGATGTTACTTTATGATATTGCTCAAGTGGCAAAGTGGTCTTATAACCTTGCGAATGATTTTATTGACGTACTTTTCATGCATTGCATTCATGTGCATTGACCCATGACCAGATGACGTTATATACGCGTATATATGTAAATATATGTATATTGAATGGGAAAAGGTTACGGCGTTATATACGCACCACCACCTGATCAGCTGGTATATGATGATGATGTTGCCCACAGTGGCCGAAATATGATTCAAACGGCGTTATATACACGTATATATGTATTCATATATGTATATGGGATATGGGAAAGGTTATGGCGTTATATACGCACCACCACCTGATCAGCTGGTATACGATAATGATTTTGCCTACGGTGGCCGATATGATATGATGAGATGCCCTCAGAGGCTGATGATATTATGAAATATGTACCTATGCACGACATGACATTCATACGCATATGCATGACGTTAAAAGTAATTTATGATTTACAAAGTTATTCAGACTTACACGTTGAGTCATGTACTCTATATGTCTTTCATATCTCTCATGTATTTATTTATGTGCTTTACGTACTCAGTACATTATTCGTACTGACGTCCCTTTTGCCTAGGGACGCTGTGGTTCATGCCCGCAGGTCCCGATAGACAGCTCGAGAGCCCTCCAAGTAGGCTATCAGCTCAGCGAAAGATGTTGGTGCGCTCCATTTGCTTCAGAGTTGCTCATTTGGTTAGTATGATTTAGACGTGTATTGTTTGGTATGGCGGGACTCTGTCCCAACCCTTATGACATTTATGTATTCTTAGAGCCTTCTAGACATATGTTGTGTACATAAAAGATTGTACGACCTTGTCAGCTTATGTTTTGAGTTTATAAAGGATCATGTTGGCCTATTAGGCCCGTATGCATGTGTATATAATGATGTATTAAGAAAGATACGTTACGTTGGTACTCAGTTGAGTAAAGTACCGGGTACCCGTCCCGGCCCATTGGTTTGGGTCGTGACAAAAGTGGTATCAGAGCAGTTCTGTCCTAGGGAGTCTATTAGTCGTGTCTAGTAGAGTCTTGTTTATGGGTGTGTCGTGCACCACACTTATAAGCAGGAGGCTACAAGGCTTTTAGGACTATTACTCTTTCTTCTTACTCTAGATCGTGTGGTAGAACTCACTTATAAGAATTCGAGTCCCAAACTTCTATTCGTAATAAGACGATGCCTACATTCAGAAAGACGATCGATTAGAGATACAGCTGTGGGATTTTTGATTTAGAGGAACTCGATTTTGCATCTTGGTTATGATAAGTAAATGTGAGGTCTTTTGCAAATCATGGATGTACTGAAAAGTGTAAGCTTCTTGATAAAGGACCTTAAGGCAAGAATATTTATCCACCTTTATGGTAAAATACAATGTTCTTAAGAAGTAAAAGAAGCAAGGTGAAGAAGGGTACGATGCGCCCAGTTAATGAAGATTATCGGTATTATAGTTCTGGTAGAAAAATATAAGCATTAAGAGTTACCCTCAACAGTAACAAAGATATGTATAATTGGCCATACCCACCTCCGTTATGCCTTATGGGGGCTAACAAGTGTAGTTTAAAAAAAGGACGGAACATCAGGACCCTATGGTGAATGGATTGTTTGTGTTAGATGACATTTCCAAAGGATATTGCAAGTGTGCTAGTAGATTTCCTCGTGATACACCTAGATGGTGCACCCTAAGATATTAAAGCTAGAATGGAAGCCCTGAAGGAATAAATATTACCTTAGTGTGGCTCCCGCCCCAGTAAAGAAAGAATGCTAGGCAATTGAAAGTGCCAAGGGATGGAGCAAGGGGAGCCAAAGGCAAAAGAATGTTTTGTTCGAGTCTTTAGAATAAACCAGTAGACATAGATAAGTAGCGGGAGATAAGAAGAGAGTTAATAAAGCATTATGAGTAAGATACGATACATGGATGATAAGGGTAGGTCAAAAAAATGATGACAGTATTACAGAATTTACAATTAAGTGAAGGGAAAGACAAAAAATGACATGCCTTGAGACAATGAAGAACATGGGCCATAAATTCATA